GCCCGCGCCCTTGCGACTGTATGGTAAATACGTACGTACGAGCAAATTGCGTCAGTGTCCACGCACACACGGCTTATTGTATCCGCCGTACTTTTCTCACGCTCACACACTGATGCCTACGTGTAATTTGTACTCGGACGTAGCGACGCAATACGCTTGTGTGCGTGTTTATCGGAAATTAGTTCTGCTGCAACCATCGGGGTATCGGTGGAAATTGACAACACCACTGATTGTAACGATGGGAATCTGTGCACGTGTGCCCACATTAAACATTTACTTCATTGAGTACCGCATTAAAATGTTGCAAAATACAAAGTATTCAAAGCTTTTCACCTCCCAGCCATTTGATTCGAGTTATCGATAGATTAATAATTAATTAACGATACATTCGAATGGACTGCATGCTTATGAATGACTAACCTGACCAGTTAAACAAAGACGATATGTTATATTTATAATATTAACAAATAAATGTAACGTTTGGTATTTATAGTAAATAGTTATTGCGTCTGGTGTAAAAATAAGGATATGAGTAAATTATAAGCATGGCAGACCATTCACCTCGACTATAATTACTGGCTCTTTGCATAATTTCCATACACATTAGCAGTGCGAAATGATCTACAAATTGCTATAGCTGAGAACTACCATCATGATAATTAAGCGTAATTAGTATTTTTTACTTTGTCACTTAATAGTTTGTGAATGCATCGCATTTTTATTTTCCAACCAGTACTTACATAAACTCTATTACACTAAAACCTTTCGATTGAGTTTTTTCATATTTTTTCAAATTTGTCATTCAACTTTTACGAGAAAATAAAGGTTTACAAGAGGTGGAAAATATCTCTAAAATAGAAAAGCTTCTTATAAAAACTAGTAGGTATGTAGTAACCTTTACACTTTGGCCTTCCATTAAATAAAAATAATAAGGAGATCACTTAATAGGTTATATTTACCTACCTTTGAGTTGCCTAACGTATCAAACAGATTGCACTAAACCACACATACATAACTAGTTATACTTTTATATAAGTTCTAACGTGAATAGAACTGTTTACAAATAAACAATTGTTCTTTCTTGTTTATTTGTAAACACACTGAAAAAAAACACGAGGTAAAGAAAACTTTACCTGGGGAGCGCAGTCCGGTTACACCTCTGTTATATACTTAGTCACCGAGACCTTTCTCTTGGACTTGCAGTTTACAACATACATACATAGTTATATACGCACACTCGCACATCAAGCTTCGAAAGAGTAAACAGGGGTAAATAAACACCCACATTTTGTGAAAATATGATTTGTTCGCAAGTATAAGAGCCAAGAATATTACTGTAACCTGCTAATTTGGGAATTAAATATGATATATTCAAATAGCTCAAACAGATCATGGTAGCATCTGTAACTCAAACTGTCTATTGCTCGAAACGCAACTATTTAATGCAACTGGTCGGCTGTCGGCTCCGATTCGAGTGAAAATCTATCGTGGTCCATATCTTGTTCTACAATATTAGTAATGTGTGGGCTATGTTATTTGCTTAATTACTGCTAATAAGAATAAGACAGATAGGTTTAGCATTCAAACAATTGAACAAGTTTCATGTACTAGCCTACATTTTAATCATAGACTATTTTAATTATAACCTTCGATTCAACAAAAAGGTTTACATTGTACTCTTAGTAATAATGGTTGATTCATATTATTTAGCTTATTCTAAAGAGCTAGAGCGCAACGGGTTATAGACGGATTTAGGCGGCATCTCATCCCTACAAAACTGATGCGGTCCAGTGTTATGTACAAAATTGTCTATGACAATGACAACCCAGGCGCAGGTAGTGAAAATGAAACTACCTGGCCCTATGTTTCTTTTCTTAAATTATTTACTAAGTATCTTATGGTAGTAAATACAACAGTAACATTCATAATATAGATATCTTTTATTTGAACATGTATTTCATTATCTAAGAATCAGAAGAAATGTAACATTATAAGTTAATTACGAAATACAAGGAATTTGTGAGTGGTCTTATTCAATATCTTACCAATTAATCTGTTGACTAAGTGATTAATAAGTTTTAATTGGAAATAACTCTTGCGTCATACTATACTTTTGCCTGAAAATACATGATTAAAGCGGAACCTAGGACAACATGTTAGGATTGTAATATTTTATTTTCCATGTGTCATAGTGTTAGTAAGAGATTACTGACACCTACAGAACCGCATCCCAATTTTTAGTAAGTAGTTTAGTAAAGGAATTCCAACATGTCCTGAACCACCCCTCTCTCTCGCACTTTCTGCTATTCCGCACTTTCTCTTCTGTCCTTAATATATCAAATTTAAATAAACGTTAAATGATTCATTTATGCAAACACATATGAAAATAATATTTGCACCTGGTCATACCAAATTATCATAAATATACACGTTTTCAGTATAGCATAATCTAAAACGTTCCATATAATATTTAAAACATTTAGTTAAGTAAGTACAAGGCCACGTTTGATATATATGTACGTTAATGTCGTCTGAATAAATATTGGCATTGTCAATTCTAGGAGTACATTGATATCAATTATATCATCAAACGTACATTTAAAGGGTCACACTCCACCGTTTCAGCGCAAATAAATCGTTAGGTATGAACTCATATAATTTATAAACATGTAATTTTTGTTGTAATACGCGATATTTAGGAATGATACCGTCCATTAAAAGCATCAAAACTTATAGTGCCGTAAATGGCTCAAATTCTTCATATGAAATTCATCTCTTATATTTGATAAAATATATAAAATCATTAAGGCTGCAAATTAAACCTGGCATGTATAGCAAACATAATAAATATAAACGGTATTGGATTTGTTTTTATACTTACTGAAGACGTATTAGGAAACTTAATCTTTGAAATTAAAACTTGTAAAATATACAAAAACATGTTAAATAATAGGTAAACGTTCACTTCAAGTTGCCTTATCAAGTAGAAAATATTTCTTACTAGCAAATATAAGGTAATCATTTATTTTTATATATTTCAGACCCCAAACAGTAAACATACATAGTCTCTGTAAATCGTTAATAATGTTTTTATGTTTTCTACGTCTGAAGTAGGAAACAAGAACAAAGAACGTTAGATAATCATCGACTCATAATAATATTTGGAACGTACTAGACGCTAGATACTGAAACATATATTTTTAATAAGTTTAATTTGCATAAATTTAAATTAACATTATCAGTGTGAACATCCGGAGTAAGTTTGGTGGGGTTCGATTATTTGCGGTAATGTGGTAACGTCTTATCACATCCTGGTTTAGTCATTAATTAGTCAGTTATATTTGATTAGCTAATCTACCTATTGCGAAACTTAAATAACAACGGGCCTGTTTGTCTAGTGGTAGGCCCTGACTGGTAAGCCGGAGGTCGTGGGTTCGATTCCCACCCAGGACAAATATTGTGTGATGAGCACGGTCATTTGTTCTGTGTCTGGGTGTAATTTCTCTATAATATGTATGTATTTAAAAATATATAAGTATGTTTATCAGCAGTCTGGTTACCGTAGCACAGGCTATGCCTAGTTTGGGACCAGACGGCCGTGTGTGAGATATGTAAAGTTATAGTTATAAGTTATAATTAACTACTTACCATGCGTTATTTTAAGGGGTTAAAACTTAGGGGTTATACTTAGAGCGAGTTTAGTCAATAATCCTTATTATTGACTGCCGCTGTGGTGCAGTGATAGCGTATGCGACTGCTGTGCTGAGGTCTCGGGTTCGATTCCCGGATCGGACCAAATTTTTGTCTGATCTACAAATATTGTTTTCGGCGTTTGGTCGTTTTTATATATATTATGTATGTATTTACAAAAAAAAAGTATTCTATCAATATAACTTCCATAGTTCAAGCTCTGCTTAGTTTGAAATTAGATGGCGTTGTGTGTCAGTTGTCCGAAATATCTGTTATTTCTACGAGTGTTACTTTAACGAGAATAAGTTCCAGGTATTATCTAAAAAATAAATCATTTAAGTGTACATTCTTTGCGCGTCATGTGATATATTTTTCGTCGATAATGTCTTGCTGTCAACTAAGTAAATATATTATTTTATGCCTCGTTAGGTATTTGTAGGACAAGTATCTGATAACGATAGATAACAGAGAAGACGGCTTAATCTCATTTTTAACGAATTTTTATTCTAGATTATCAGTTGAATTCTTCGTCAATTTTTTTTTCTAAATATATAACTTTTATGTCAAGCCTGTAAGGGTTATAATTCCTTGATGGTTTTTCTTTACACCAATGAATTTTAAATTCTTCGAGACCTAACTTGGTTGGTTGCTTAATTGTAATAGTGTCGATTTGACAACGTTGACAGGCTGTCATACGAATAAATTGATCGTAGTTGTTTGCGCAAATGTCAGTTAGATAACGATTACTTACCATGTATTTTAATTTCACGTCGATATGTATATGTACATACGTGATGTCTATGGGAACTAATCGCTTATCTCTTATCGGAAAGAAGGCATTAATAATTTTGAAGACCCTACACTTCAACAAGTAGGTATTATACAAATTTATCAACTCTTAATTCCCGACAAACATTCCATGATAACTTCTGTGGGGATTCCGACCATTCATGTACGTACCTACCTCTATAGAGGATTTCCACTTTGTATAAATGGGGCACCTACTAATCGAATCTATATTTGAAAAACAACACTGAGTGACACAAACGATGACCCTACCTACTTCCGGTTCCGACCGACCGACACAAAATGTATTCAATAGTCACCTTCAGTAATGTGAAACTGGTCCGTGAGAAATAAGTGATTGATTGCTGATCATTTAATGCTGGATAGTGGCGTGATATAAAACAAACACTTAGATACATTTTCCATTTAGTGTTTTTACTGTTAGACGTTGATCTAATGAATCTAACGTAAGTCATTACTTGTTGCAGGAGAGCATGTGATGCCGGCCCTTGACGCCCGGCGCCATGCCCACGCCGCTGCAGCCCGGCGGCCCCGCTAGCGGCCCGCCTCCGGAGCGCAAGCGGCGCCGCAAGCGCGACGATCCGCAGAGTTCAGCTGCGCTCGAACCTGACGACGACGACGGCGACATGAGCCCCGAGGAAGAGCCGCGCAACGCGCCTGCGGCACCAGCGGCGCCAACTCCCGCACCATCCTCAGCGCCGGCGCCTACCTCGCCTCCTGCCGCGCCTGATGCTGTTGATCTAACTTCGCATCGTGATTCTCCGCCACTATCTTCTGACGTTGAACGATTCGACGGCAAAATCGTCTACAACCCTGATGGTTCAGCCTACATAATCGAGGACCCAGAATTGTCAGAAGGCGAAACAAGCATACCCGACTTGTCGAAAATAGACCCCGGGTGCATCGTTGACAGCCGTGACAACAACGTGGGTGAGAGACAGCTAGAGTTCCCACAGATAGCGAGCGCATTCTACGTTTCCAGAAACCCTTCGTTGTACGGTGCCCTGTACGGCAGACTGGCAGCTGAGCGGGTGCGATCGAGACCTGATGCGCCTGTTATGCATAGTTATCGAGTTTTTAGTTTTCGTGGAGGCAAGGATGGACTTAGACCGCCGTCTCCACCTGCTGAGTGCCCCATCAGTGTACCAGTCAAACCGATTCTTATGTGTTTTATATGTAAATTGAGTTTTGGTTATGCGAAATCATTTGTTGCGCATGCCCAATCGGATCATAGTTTATCGTTACTAGACTCCGAAAGAGACGCTTTATCGAGAGAGAATGCTTCAGCAATCATTCAATGCGTCGGTAAAGATAAAGAACCACTAGTCTCATTTTTGGAACCTGTAGGTGCTGCAGCTCCTCAGAGAGTACCATCTTCAGGAAGCCCAGCTAATATGACAGAATTACCGAGCCCTTCGGTAGATAAAAGACAAGACTTTATGACTTCTGATAGAGAAAACGAGTCAATAATGCTCAACGGCACCTGTGACGAGAGGAAACCCAGTCCAAATGCATGGCGACCTCCACGATCAATAGCTGAGTCACTAATGCCGCAACATTCTTTGATATCTGTCGCTCATCCTCACACAATAAATGCGTCAGTACAACCTAGAGCAAGTCCTAACTCCTCCCCACCGTTTCAAGCTACACCACCTGCCTTTCTGTCAGGTACTACAATAGGTGTTTGTCCTGATCATCTAGGAGGAAGACCTTCCGGTGCTGATTGCCCAAAATGTGAACTTATATTAAACTCAGGAAGATTAGGCGGCCCACTAGCTGGCATGCATAGCCGAAATTCCTGCAAAACTTTGAAATGTCCTAAATGCAATTGGCATTACAAATACCAAGAAACTTTAGAAATACATATGAAAGAGAAACACCCAGAAGCTGAGACGAGCTGCATTTATTGCATAGCTGGCCAACCGCATCCTCGACTAGCAAGAGGTGAAACCTATACCTGTGGATATAAGCCCTACAGATGCGAAGTGTGCAATTACTCAACGACGACTAAGGGCAATCTTAGTATACATATGCAATCTGACAAACATTTAAATAATATGCAAGAGCTTCAGAATGGCGGTAACCCTGGTGAAGGAAGTTTACCTCCTGCACCACAGCACACACCTCCAGGCCCACACAAGCCGCCACTCCCCCACCATTCCCCCTTAGGTCAAAAACCAAAGCCTACTTTTCGCTGTGATGTTTGTAATTATGAGACAAATGTTGCACGTAACTTAAGAATACATATGACATCTGAAAAACATACACACAATATGCTTGTCTTACAACAAAACGTAAAGCATATGCAAACGTTGTCAGCTTTACATCACCGACAGCAAAGTCACCAGCAACTAGAGAGTTTGCTACACTTCCACGGAGGTGATGCACCACCACCCAATCCAGAAGCTGCCTTAGCTGATATGGCTTACAACCAAGCACTGATGATTCAACTGATGACTGGAGGTCCTGGCCCTTCACCGCCTGAGCTAGGCGCCCATTTGGACGTTGGCTTAAATCCCGAAGCAATGGAGCCTCCACCAGAACCAGCAGATCCTGAACCAGAAAGAACGTTCCACTGTTGTATCTGCAACTGCTTCTCAACCGACTCCCTAGAAGCGCTCGGTCACCATCTAGCTCAAGACCGCACAAAAATCAGAGAGCAAGAAATACTAGCGTTGGTTGCTGGTCATTACGTTTGCAAGCTTTGTACCTATAAGACAAATCTGAAAGCAAACTTCCAGCTTCACTGTAAAACTGATAAGCACCTACAAAGGCTGCAGCATGTGAATCATGTTAAGGAAGGTGGACCTAGAAATGAATGGAAGTTAAAATTCTGTGGTGGTGTTGGTACAGGAGGTGCAAGTGTTGGTGGAGTTCAAGTACGATGTTGCGCTTGTGATTACTACACGAATTCAGCTCATAAACTGCAGCTTCATGCAGCTGGGGCGAGGCATGAAGCTGCTGCACTGCTACTAAGACATCTCCGTGAGTGTGCATCGCGGATACCTCGCGAACGACCCCGGGTGTACCGTTGCGCCCTTTGTGGGTTTGGAGCCCCTCACCGCTTGCCACTGCTGCAACACGTTCGCTCCGTGAAACATTTGCAAATGGAACAAATCCATCAACTACAAAGGCGTTCAGAAGGCAAAGACCCTACACCTGATGTGGCTGAGCTATTCCAAGTGATACCCCAACCGACTGAGCTTCCCAGTCCATATGATCAGCAGGAAAACGGTAAGTTTTTGAATTGAACAAGTTTTTTTTTTGACGAACCTCCTCAATATTTATTAATAGCTTATTTAAAGTCATTTAATTGTAGACACTATTGAAATTAATAGTGAGTAATTTTCTAAGATACTTTTTTAGATATTGTTAGGTCGCGTCAGTCTTTTCATGTGCAGTAGAGTGTTAATAAGGAAATTACTTATTGGCTTGCTACTAATTTTCCAAGCGTGACTAGTCTATTGTTATTACACATTAACTTCCTTAAGGCGTTGTCTCCGTAAGTTACAACTTAATGATAATTAGTTAGTTATATAAAGAGCGCCCCTTCCCCTCCACCCTCCTCCTTAACTAGGTACTAGCATTTCAGCTAAAAGTTGTGTTTGCTAGTATCTACACAATGGCACAATAAAAACCATTCACGATCGGAAACCAATTAGATGCGCGTGCGCATGCTGCTTAGTTTTTCTGCTTCGCGCTAGATGTCGCTCGTGACAACCTTTATTCAATCAGTAAACGAATGCGACACAACGAAATATAGGTATTATTATTTATTACTTCTGTGCTAAACACATTTCGTAACATTTTTATTCTATAAAGCGTAAAAATCCCATTAAAATTAATTCAACCAAAACCATTACCGACGTTCGTATCGATAAAGTAATACTGAGTCGACTTATGAATGTGATTTCGAAACGTCACTATCGGTTTCCAATTTAAACCGATTCGTTCCTTAATCAATTCTGTTTTGCGTTTTTTCAAACTGAACTTCTTTCTGTAGATCGTGTCAACAAACATAGCGATTTGTTTGATGTTAATTTGTGTTTATTGTGACTATGATATGAAGGCACATCACGCGCTCCGTTTTCGTTAGCGAAGCTTCATTATCGTTTATCGCGTGACCGTCACCCGTGTTCAACCTGAGAGGCAATCTCCATTTTAAGCGATGAGCATTTAGCGAAGAATTCGTAATCACAATAATGAGATAATTACACACGAACAAAATTTAATTTAAAGCGCGCAACATTAGAACAGGTTTCTTTAATAACGTACGCCTTACACGGTGTCGCCACAGTCGGATGCCGTCATTGGTCGGAGGCGACTCCGCCCCGCGCGCGAGGGAGACGGAGAGAAGATTTGAATTGAGAACGCGAATTTTCCATAAGTACCGCACGCGGGACAATGACTCGCATTACGTATGTGGCGGTCGCGCATTAAGGATGATTGCCCCCTTGTGATGAGGCTGCTACATCATCACACAATGTCGCCGGCCGCATTGCCCCGCGTATGTTTATGACCACGGTGAAATACGATAAACTTCGAGAGAAATGTGGAGGCGAAAGAAATCTGCCTTACACCATTGTGTGCCTCATGTTTATGCTTATTACTTATTTTCACCTTATTCAGAAAGCCGTTTTAAACGATCGATTTTGATATAAATTTAGAATGGCTTACGGTTCATTGTAAAATACGGAGATGAACTAAATGTGTTGCGATGCCAGATTGCATTCATTAAAATTCACACGCACTTGGAACAGTCACATGGCAACAACAAAAACGATTCTTTATCTCCTACCATATTATTTGTGTGGCTTTCTTTGAGATTGTCACTGTTTTACCCCTCAGCGACCGATTCATTAGTTACCGTCCCTATTATCAATGTGATTAAAACCAGATTGAAAACCGGTTTATAATTCAATTCGTTATACTCGACAAGCTCCCTGTCTAAATGATTTTATTTAGTTTACTGAACTACCATCAAGAAAGACATTCAATAAAGTGCCCAGACAAAAATAAGAGCATTTCCATTCATATGGACACAAAAGGAGAACAACAAAAATGTTAATAGGTAAAGTAAGGTTCATACATCAGGGCTTGTAAACACTCCAAGGTACCCTAATGGCCAGTTACGACCACTTAGGCATATTCAAAATCAAATTTAACTAGTATTTGACTAGTCCAAATTTAAACTGGTACAGGCAACACCGTTGCGCAAAGACAGTAAAACTTCCAGGCTCCCATTGTATCCCGGACGCCACATTGTAAAAATTCTGACCTAAATCTCACAAAACAAAACTCGCACTGCACAATACTTATTTTACGATGCTATAACGATGTGGTGTTTCCTTAGAAAAGACCCTTTGTCCATTGACAAAAAGCATGAGAGATCGCGTTTATGCAGACAAGGTCCTTTTACCTGGCCATTGTTCTATGCTCCTACCAGACTGTAGGTCGGTCGATTTTACATCATAAATAATTACATTCAATGGTCACTCCGCTAGAATTAGGGTCAGTTGGGTCATTATTATTACGCGTAGGGATTTACTTATTATCCCTCTCCCCTTCATTAGATGTAACGGTTTTAACTGCTTAAAACTATAGAACGGGTTCCTGAACGGGGGACCGACTGGTTCCACTCAACTCCTGTGAATCATTACATGTTTTAATTAAGCTGAGTTAAACCCTTTTTTGAGCGCGTTTATAGAAAATAGGTATGTTGTCTTATGCAATTGATTTAATATTTACCGCCTTTCATGAGCCTAATTGACTGCATTCTTCCACTCTTTAATTTTCATTCTTAGATTTTTTCTTCAAACTGAAATGGACCAAACAATAAATTTAAAAAAATCTAATGCGGTTCATAAATAACAGAATTATCAGGTATCAAATATAGAGCTAAATGAGGACCTCCTCCTTTTTTGTAGTCGATTAAGTTAAGATTTAGGAAAATATACATATTTCTGTGAGACATTTACGAAAAGGTATTTTATTAATTCATTAAAAAAATTGAAAATAAAATTTTAATTGGTTAGTCGTGTAGTTGAGTGGAGGATGTGACCTTGATAGATAATAATGTGTTAAATTTTTGACTAATAAGTATTATTGTAACGTTACTTTAACGAAGCCACGCACCCTCGGCCAGTTTTTTCACCTTTCTTAATTCAGCGTAAACAATGCGGCCCAGCGTCTTTCGCACGCTGCCGTGGACTTATCCTTGGTCAAAATAATAATTGCACATTCATATAGGTATGTACTCCTTACTCTCATCTCACTCACACCCACGGCTACACACATCACCTATCCATATGCGTTTGATCCGATGTGAAACGAAATATTCGAAACCTTTTGTAATAATGAACAATGATTGTTTGCCCGTCCTGTATCTCCTTTGTGTGCAAAATTACAATATACTTGTTAGGTTAACATGATACATCTGTGTGCGTGTACGGGATTTATATAGGGATACCTTTGTCTTGCCGGGACGTCGCAAACAAAACGAGGTCTACTAATAATAATATAAAAGGAGAAGAATTTTATTTTAACTTCAATTCAGAAAAGTAACAAACGGTCGAACCGAACAATAGTAAGATTCATTTATAGAAATAATCTTTTTTGTAGATAGATCTCACGTAGACGTAGGAATACATTGTGGATTTACAGCATTCAGATCTGTATCCATTCGGCCCGCAGATTCCATAGCGGGAGGTTCGTCGCATATTTAAATTTAACAGACTTTGATTTGTTTTGTTAATTACTTAATTTATTTTATTAATTTCAATTATTTTTTAAATTTAAATACGTAATTGCATACTGTTGTTTGTTAACAGAAAATAAGGAGCCGATTGATCAGAAGCCTGAGTTAACACAAGAGCAAAAGATGATGAGGTTTTTGGAACAACATCAGCAGCAACAGCAGCAACAACAACAAGTTCAACAACAATCTCCACAAGTCTCCGTTGAACGAGAGGAAGAGCGCGAAACGCCAGGACCGCACTCGTGCCCCTACTGCAACTTCAGTTGTACAAGTGAAACGCGCCTACACGCTCATGTCACTTCTGTACATAGTGATAGCGCTCGCCAATTTATTTGTCCACTTTGCCAAGACGGTTTCAAAGAACGTTCAGCGCTCGAGCGACATGTAATGCAAATTCACTCAGTTAATTCAGAAGGATTGCAGAGATTATTGTTGCTCGTTGACCAAAGCCATTGGTTAAATGGTGGAACCCAATCTCAAAGGGACGAATCTCGACAAGGAGATGATGAAAGAGAGATATCATCACCGCGATCGGAAGGTAGTACTGATGGTGAAATGGAAAGATGCTTAACATGCAATCGAACTTTCCGTAATGTTGACGAACTGTGCCAACATCAAAATGAAACTGGACATCTTGAATTAAAACAAACACCTCAAGGACCAGGATATGTGTGCTGGAAGAAAGGATGCAATCGCTACTTTGATGCTGCTCATGCACTACAAAACCACTTTAGAGAAGCACACGCTCGCAATTCTATCGCTAACATGTCGGTATCTGAGAAACATGTTTACAAATATCGTTGTAATCAATGCAGCTTAGCATTTAAAACGGTTGAGAAGTTACAACTTCATTCACAGTATCATGTTATTAGAGACGCCACGAAATGTGTGCTTTGTGGAAGGAGTTTCAGATCAGTGCTGGCTTTACAAAAGCATGTTGAAACTTCTCACTCTGAATTATCTGAAGAGGAGCTCTCTGCTTTGAAACGAAGCTTGGCATCGAACCCTTTGTTACAAGCTGGACAAGGAACGGCATTAGATGCTGCTACTGCTGAACTTTTAAGGAAAGAAACATTAAGAACGCCCGAGGATGAAATTGGTGATTTAGAAGATCGAGATTCTAGTGCTACTGTCGCTGATGAGTCGGGACACAATGACGCTGAAAATTCTGATGATTCTATAATCTATAAAGATCAACAATTTTTGGAAGACTATTTGAACTCTCAAGCTATGGCAGAAGACTCCTACAATGACCCGAACAGAAAATACAAATGTCATAGATGTAAAGTAGCCTTCACTCGTCAATCTTACTTGACAGCACATAATAAGACACTGTTACATAGAAAAGGGGAAAAACTAACCTACCCAATGGAAAAATATCTTGACCCTAATAGACCGTTCAAATGTGACGTATGTAAAGAATCGTTTACGCAAAAGAATATCTTATTAGTTCACTATAACAGCGTAAGTCATTTGCACAAGTTGAAGAGAGCAATGCAAGAACAACAAAACAACAACAATCCACCTGTGTCACCGGGCGCAGGTTCCGCACCATCTAATTTAACCCTCACTCCTAAGAGTACATCCAGTGAGGAGGACGATCGAAAACGCTACAAATGTAATATTTGCAAAGTTGCATATACACAAGGCAGCACACTCGACATTCACATGAGATCAGTATTGCATCAAACTCGCGCCGGAAAATTACAAGAATTAGCCGCCGCTGGACATGTGGACTTGACAAGGCCGTTGGTTGAGCAGCCGGATAGAAACGATCCCGCGAAAATTTTACAAGACGTGTTGTCGCCGAAAAATACATCCCCTTCGTCAACAAGCAGTGGGGGACCGCGTTCCTCGCCCCCCGCGCGCCCAGGTAGCCCGCGATCCCCACGTGCAGGTAACACTGCGTGCGAGCGTTGTCACGTGGCATTCCCTACCGGGGAGTTACTCGACGCACATCGAGCGACGTCATGTCCATTTGGCGATGCGCGGGCGCACTCTCCGCTCGGTGAAGCTGAAACAGCTGCTTTTGACGAAATGGTCGCCAAGGGCAACCCGCCCAAACGCAACTCACAAATGTATAAACAATTACTTGAAACATTCGGCTTCGATCTCGTTATGCAGTACAATGAAAATCAGAGAAGAAAAATGCAGGAAGAGCGGGAAATGGTGCGTATGCCAAGTCCACCACCACCACCCCCGGAAGAAAAGCCGCCGGATGGTGAAACTAAATCGACGTGTCAGCATTGTAATAAAGAGTTTTCTAGTGTGTTTGTTTTGAAGACGCATTGTGAAGAAGTGCACAAGGACAAAGTACCGCTCGAGTTTTTGGAACAGTTTGCGGAACACTTCAAATCGGAGTATGAGAGGAAGTCAGGCGCACCGAACTCCCCTCGTGCCGCCTCGCCTGTGCCACAAGGTGACAGGTCTCCTTCTCCCCGTGGTGAGAATAATGCAAGCTTTAACGAAAATGGAAGTACGTCTGGTGATGCTCAAGCCGGTGCTTTACTGGCTGCACAAGTACAAGAGATGCAAGCAGCATTAAACATGATCCAACTACAGCAGCAACTAGGACAGTTGCATCCTATGGTAGCACAGATGTTGTCACTTGGTCTACCGCTTGGGCTAAATGTGGGTGCGCTGGCCGCGATGAACCTGCAACCACCCCTAGTTCCATTGATGCTACCACCTCCGCCCTTTGATGCTATGCCCTTCACGCATGATGCTCAACTTAAACAACAGCAACTTCTGCAGCAACAACAACAGGTTAGTGTTATCTATTTATATTTATTTACGTGACTATAGTGTATTGATCATATAATGTAGAAGAAACAACATGACAATTAACTACAAACGCTCAATTGTAATAATCTACCAATTTTATAGAAGTACACGTTGCCTAACAGATAAACATAACAAAATAGATAAATTATTATTAAATTACGGTAATGCCACAGTAAAACCATTATTAAAATATAACGATGCAATAATATATTTTTTTAGGCTTGGCTTCGATTTTGCCATAGAAAGTGCCAAAAAGATAAAAATAGCATTTGATATACAACCTATTATAACTACATAAAAATACCTGTATATATATATGTATCTATATGTGTATATATATATATATATATATATATATATATATATATATATCTTAATATACTAATACTTAAACATCAAACAAACTCGTTTTAATTTTATCTGTCTGAAAGGAGAATGCCCATTCATGGTTTAATTTTTAGCTTCGTTCGCATCATTATTTGTGACGTCAAAAAAAATATTGATTTTAAGTTGACTTTTGGACCCTGAATCTCTTATAGAACTTAGGGTTTGAGATTAAATCTTACAAGGACTAAAACTTGAATCAATGACCGTTTCCATTTTAAGTTCAATGTGGCTATTATATAAAATAAACATCGTTTTAAAATGAATTTGTTAAATATTATACGTGAAATATTGACGTTATATAATACGTGAAAATAATTCGCAATGTCACATTAAAATGTATTGCAGTTTAGTAATCTTATTATTTCGTGTATGTAGTCGCAGTTTATCTAGTGAATGTATACTTCAGTCTTTAGTGTTAGTTTTGTCTTAATTTATACATAGTATCCCAGTCAAAACAAGATGCTACAAACATTCTAAAAAAAACATAACGTCAGTGTCACTATTTTTTCTAGTTGTTAATATTTTCACATTTAATTTCTCAATAACGACAAGTTCTGTTACAATATATCTACGTTAATATTTCTATAATACTTAATGCAGTTTATACATATTTGACAACGCAAAAAAAGTGTGAAACTGATTTTCATACTGAAATGGGCCTTTCTGTATATTACATTAATCTCAATATACTAATATTTAAATATCAAATGAATTCCTTGTTATTTAATCATATTTCAACATTTATTTTAACAAATTTTAACAAAAAATCTTAATGTTAGTTATTTAAACGAATGAATGGAAATGAAATACAGTAAACTAAATATAGGTATTCCAATTACTTCAACTGCTACATTTAAAATTTGTAACATACGTGTATACATGTATATCTTATTTACTTAATAAAATACAAGGCTTCGCATTGATTATATATTTTTGTCAGTTACTGTGTAAATTCAAACGCCGGCAATAAGGATAACTACGACGTATTGTAAGATAAGAGCGACGATTTACGTTAGCTATCTGTTTGCACAAGGTGACAGAGAATCTATTGTTACATGAAGGGACGAGTCATTATTATTAGTAACGAGTTCCCTTAGTATTCGGACTTATACCTGCTTCTTGCGCATACAAAACAACCCTTTGACAAGCTTTAAAATCTTAACTCGTTTTAAGTTTTACAAAGCATTGATTTAACAGATATTTCTTTTGTTTGCTTGTAGGCTAATGCTGCCGCGGGTCAAAAAAGAGCTCGCACGCGAATCACTGATGAACAACTTAAGATTTTGCGAGCGCATTTTGATATCAACAACTCACCAAGCGATGAAGCCATTGCAAAAATGGCGCAGCAGTCTGGACTAGCTACAAAGGTAATCAAACACTGGTTCAGAAACACACTCTTCAAGGAACGGCAGCGTAATAAAGACTCGCCTTACAACTTTAACAACCCGCCTTCCACAACACTAAATCTAGAAGAGTACGAAAAGACTGGCGAAGCCAAGGTTACACCTTTAGATTCTTCTGCAAGCTCTGATGAAGGTAAACCACCTCCTGAAAAGAAAGCTAAAATTGAAGACAACAGTATTATAATGCAACAAGAAGTGAAGTCAGAACCTCATGATGAACCTACTATAGAGGAAAAGTACAACTCTTATGATGATCGCCACCAAGAAGACAAAAGTTTTATTTTTCCTCATGTACCATCTCAAAGCCCTGCTCCAATAGGCCAAATTAATGAACATCAACAAAACAAGTCGCGACCGCAGACACCGACACATATGTCGTTAAATTCACTTATTCAATCTCAATTAGATTCAATTCCGGCAACAACTATACCGCAGCCACCTCATCCATCGATGCTTCCACCTAAACTAAATCCGAATTTCACGTCCCCAAACTCCGCGCCCCCGAACGTCCTACCTTTGACCCCAAATCGCAGCCTCAGTCCTGGCAGGGGACCGGCCGATTTCGGACTTTCCGGGGGCAATTCGAACGGATCCAACAGCTCGGGGTCTTCTGGCAAACGCGCCAACAGAACTAGATTCACTGACTATCAAATTAAAGTATTACAAGAGTTTTTTGAGAATAACGCATATCCCAAAGATGACGATCTCGAATATTTATCAAAGTTACTGGGATTGAGTCCTAGAGTAATAGTTGTATGGTTTCAAAATGCGCGACAAAAAGCAAGAAAGGTGTACGAAAACCAACCAGCTGCTGATCCACCAGCAACCGCTACAGATGATGCAAATAGATTTCAACGCACTCCAGGACTTAATTACCAATGTAAAAAGTGCCAATTAGTATTCCAGAGATATTATGAACTTATACGACATCAAAAAACACACTGTTTTAAAGAAGAAGATGCGAAGCGGTCAGCACAGGCACAAGCGGCTGCAGCGCAAGTAGCTGCTACATTAAGTAGTGAAGATTCAAACTCGAGCAATGTAGAACATCATACACCTCACGTACCAGTTTCTCCAGCACCACCTCGTACTCCAACGCCAGCTGCGCCTACCTACCCAGCTTCACCGGCACCTCCAGCACCTATAACACCAGTAACACCTCTTTCGCATGCTCCCCGTGAAGAAAAAGATGGAAATTTTCAATGTGATAAATGTAACCTAGTCTTCCCTCGATTTGAATTGTGGCGGGAACATCAACTTGTTCACATCATGAACCCTAATTTATTTCCCACTTATCCACCGGATTCCCCTTTTGGGATCTTGCAGCAACATGCTCAACTACAACAGCTGAACGCTAGCCTCGGCGGAGATGAAGCTCGCCACCCTTTAGTTGCTGCATTAAACCAACAAGTGGTAAAGAGGAAATTTGATGAATATGAAGAAATTGATACTGGGGAACAACCAAAAGACAAAAGGTTGCGGACTACTATCTTACCAGAACAACTGGATTACCTCTACCAAAAGTACCAAATTGAATCAAATCCGTCACGAAAAATGCTTGAAAACATTGCACGCGAAGTAGGTTTAAAGAAACGAGTGGTACAGGTTTGGTTTCAAAATACACGAGCACGTGAGAGGAAAGGACAATTTCGTGCGCATGCACAAGTCATAAATAAACGTTGTCCCTTTTGTCCAGCTTTGTTCAAAGTAAAGAGCGCTCTCGAAAGTCATCTGAGTACAAAACACGCAGATCAGTGCGCGAGAGGTGAAATCAATGTTGATGCCCTACCAGATGAAGAATTAAGCACAGAATCAACTCCCAGTTTTGGATCCCAACAAAGTGACCGGCAGCAAAATTTTTCCCAGGCGGGGGCTCCCATGTTGCCCCCTATTTTTCCACCTTTTCACTCAGACATGGAGAAGTTTATCAAGCAGTACAGTGAGGAGTCAATGAAGCGCTATGTGAGTGAATTACAAGCGCATGCCGCCGCCCAACAAAACGGAGGCAGTAATAATGAATCGTCTGAGAGTCGACCAGAACATGGAAAACCTGAAATACCTTTAGATCTCAGCAAGCCAGTCGATCTGTCACGACCCGGATCAGATGCCGATGAACGGTCTGATACCGCTTCCGAGACCATGGAATTTTATGAGGAAGACGAACCAACCTCACCAATTGCTGGTCAGCAATCAGTGCGGCCACCTGGCAAACGTTATCGAACTCAAATGTCATCTTTACAAGTAAAAATAATGAAATCTTTATTTAGCGACTATAAAACTCCAACAATGGCTGAGTGTGAGGCGCTTGGGCGCGAAATCGGTTTGCCTAAACGTGTAGTGCAAGTTTGGTTTCAAAACGCACGTGCCAAAGAAAAGAAAGCGCGCTTAGCTGCCGGCCTAGTGGAAGTGTCTGATGCACCGCCCCCGGAGGAGTGTCGAGTGTGTGATTTTAAGTACAGTCACAAGTACTCAGTACAAGACCACGTGTTTACGCGTAGCCATATCGCGGCTGTGCGTGCGCGACTGGAAACTGGCGCAAGCGCCGGTGAGGACAGTGCGCTTGCTCTCATGCAGATGGCAGCGCGACTTGAGGGTGGCATCGGCGGTGACCTGCACAACGCGTTTCTGCGGCCGCAACTTGCTGGAAACGGTGAGTGTACAACTTGAGTGTGGATCGATTTCGCCTAATGGTTATGAGAATTGAACGAATCCGCACTCTGTTACGTAGAACCTCGCAGCGGCGAGCTTCGCTCGTTTGCATGTCTGTTAGTGTATGGAACATTATTACTTACCGCGAGTCGAGCGAAGCTCTTTTCGTGCCGTGACGGTCGTTGCAGTTTTCCTACTAGTGAGTCCTTTTGTATATAAACTATAAGTATAATTGGAATAGTTTATCATTACCACTACCTCTTCGTAGTGTTGGTGTTTCAATATGTGTTAAAATTATCGTGTAAATACATAGATCTAGTGAAATAAATTTTCGCAGCTGGTTCAAGCAACTAGTCTCTGATTGAATAGTTATTTAAAAATTGATGAATATTCATCTCTCGAAACACTTTTACCATTAAAACCGTTACTCTTTCGACTAATTATGTAATATGAATGTGAAAACATCAATGTGAAGTATATTGTTTTGTACGTTGTCCTGAGGCGCGGTCGCAAGACGCGAGAGGCGGGTCTCAGCTGGTGGGCGGCCCGTCTAACCCGCCACTATACAAATGTAAACGATACCCAACAATGGTAGGAGTTAGGTCGCGTGAAGGACGTCGTATATCTAATGAGTTCGATCTGGCGCACATGCATTTGCTCCACATGAATAATCAATTATTTAAATTACACCAATCAAAAGACTTTCTCGGAAACGGTACATCAGTGCTTTGTTTGTTTCACTTTTATTACTTTATTATATTATATTACCTTGATCTACATATTCAAAACCAACACTGCGGAGCAGCATAGGCTAGTAATCTGTTGCATAATATTATTCTTCCTAGTTGTTCGTATTTAAAACTCCTATTAGGTATTAGTGACGTGTCCATTGTTGTAGGATTGTAATGAAACCAAATTATATATTTTAGAGAAATTAAATGTTTTAGTTATTATGTAAAGTCATAGCGAAGCCTGAAGTCTATAATTATTTAAAATAAGGTGCCCTGTAGGTTGCAAGTGTTTTATGTAAATTATTTTTCTCTGAGCTCCACTGTAAATAGTTAAAAGTATACTACTAGACATAAACGATGATGTGCATTGTAAAATTATCTCTGACGCTGTACGTTTCTTGTATTTCGATAGTTCATATTTATAGGTAGATATAAATATATTATTTGTTTCGTAGACACATCTTAAGAACTTGTGATATAAATGTATCTAATTAGTTTATTTCGCATATCTTATGTAAGGGTCTCGGCTACGGGCCAGCCTGAAAACACAAAAATATATACAGACATAACATAATAAGTTTGTCAAAGTGTACATAAAAATCGTGTGGAGTCCTGCCGGCTGCAGTTTTTGCTATTCTCTTGCCGCATTTACATAAGAGTGGCGGACGATTGGGGGGTTAGGCGATATGCAAATATTTTCTTCCAAATTATAATGCGGCGTAGGAAGTGGTGTAAAGCGCGGGGCTCGGCTCGTGCTATGTCGCACGGCGCTGCGCACGCGCTGCGGGTACACCCGTTACGCTTTTATTTACGACGTGGAAATTTTCGCTACCGTCTGTAACCACCTTGATACGTCTATATGGATCTTTCAAATGCAAATAGCCCAGTTCATTTTAGAACTGATATTCTTTACTATGTTGGAATACATACCAGTGGCATAATAGTTTATTTTGAATTTTATGAGCATGTTGATTTGCATATCGCTTTTTGTTATATTTTTTTTGTTTGTTATGTTTGTATTTATTTTTGTTCTCTAGGTTTATTATTAATTGTTTGTCATGTAGATAACTAAACGTATTTACGTCAAGGGAACTAAGATTTCCTTGATATTGATTTTGCCTCCAATACGACTTCCAATCATTTTATTATAATTTGTATAATTAATTTTTAAACTAATTTTATGCGATCTGCATTTACTGTTATTCAGATAACGTTATTCAAACAGTTATTTGAAACAAAGTTCTGTGCCAGCCAGCAATGAATATTTTGGTTATAGTACGGCGACTTTTATCGCTCGTCTAGGGAAACATCAAGTCCTGTAAACTGAATAGTATTATTATAATTATTATCTACAGTTATTATATTTGCAGGATTCGTTGAAATAAATGCAATATTTATATTATTGAATTATGTTTTTTTTTGTTTTTGTTTCCTTGGTTCCTTTTATCCTAAGTTTTTTTTTGCTTTTGTTGAAGTATATATTTATGTGGAATGCAATGTAAGGTAACAAAGAGAGTTAAACAAAGATGATATTTTTTGGTAGAAAGTCTCAAGCTAAGAGGTTCAGAATTATCAACTTACTTAAGGGCAGGTGAGCATTGAAGATAATTTGAAACGTAATTTGAAGATCTCATGCAGATAGTTACAATGGCATCGTAAAGTTTGTACCTGAACGCTAAAACAAAGATGTTGCTTTTGTTTTTATTCGTTACCTAGCTGTTAGTTTCTTTACAAACTTTTGGAATGTATTTTGTAGCTACGTGGGAGGTGGAAACATGAATCATTCGTAGGTTCAGACCGTCCAAAATTTTCTATTCACTCGTAACAAAAACAGATTGCTAGTTTATTTTTGTCAGTAATTATCTCGAATGTTTACAATATTAATTTGAAACGATCGTGACGGCACTAATTTTATAAGTACGCATATTTAGTTGTACAATGCTTTAAAAATGTTGTAACCAGGTTTTTCAATAATTTTCATTTCATTGAAACGAACAATAATTAGAAAAACATCATAATACGCAATCCATGGAAAACAGTGTATTCTGAATCTATACAATCATTCTTTGCATTTATATTAAGAAATCGAAAAAGTCTTGATAATTGAACCAGATGGCGCTCTTCAAGATATGCGGTTACTTGCTGTGTAACACCTTAAAAGTTATTTGTTTCCTAACCTCTACACGTAGCTCTGAAGATTCAAATGGCATAGTTACCTACCAATAGATTTAACACACACTCTTTGGGCGAGTTTTTTTTTAATTCCACATACCTATATCTCGTAGATACATTTATGTTAATATATATTTTTTTAGTTATTTTTGTTACGTTTTTCTTATAATTTTTTTTTTTATTACTGTTTAAAATTTGATAAGGCATATTAAAAATAAAAGCTATAAATATATATATATATATATAATTATAAAATGTATCGACAATGAGCTATATATACCCTTACCGTTAATGGGTAAAACTAAGCTTCTACAAACGATTGGGCCTGCTTTACCTCATCATATACAATATCTAATTACGGACTACGAATCGCGTACAGGATAACGGCATAAAATAGTCAGTTTATACGTTATTATGATAAGATTCGTGTGTTTTTTTATCCTACTACTACTCAATCAATATATTGTTAGGTACGTGAAGTGAAAACTTTGTACCCATTTTTAAGAAAATTGCGTAAATGGATGACCGTGAAATTTGACACAGTTATAGTTTATATGGAGAAGAAGTGTATAAAGGTATTTTTATATAAAATACATAGGAAATACATTGAATAAAATACATTAATCCAAAATACATTAATTAAAACAAACATTGAACACACTACTGTTTAAATGACACACAACCTTTGATTATAGAGGTGTAGTCTTTGACAAAAGAACCCTATTAAAGTTTAAACTTAAAAATTATGGTCGAAATTCGCGACCGATAGTTCGTAAAAAAGGTGTTAACTGATAAAATTATATTTTGTTAACCTCGAGAAATATATTTGCAAAATTTGTTAATATTTATGATAAGCAACGTTACTATGCGTACGTATGCAGAAATATACAAGTCATCTGTCGCGGAATGAGCAAACATTCGACATTAAATTCAATTTTAATTAGAGTTCGATTATTACATTCAAGTCACGATTCCATTTTATCGAGTGTACTCTGGTTTTTGTCTTAAATAAGGATTTCTCTATAAACGAACATCACTGTGTAAAACTATTTATAACACGTTTCTTGCCAACACTTCTCAATACAGCGCTGACAACACTGGTCAAGGGACCAAGTATAACAATGCACTACTGTACCACAGCAAAGAAGAGTTAAATCTTTAGAACTTTTGCTTTTGATAAGGCAAAAGGAAATTCTATTGTTGGTAAGTTGTTTAACACTGCACAGGGTTCCTACCGCTTAAGGGATTTCAATAAATTTAGCAAAAAGACGCATTTGAAACAAAAAGTTTCAGAGTGTTTATCACAATGCAAAAAATTAACTTTTAATTTCACCGTTCTTCCTGATTGCAAAACATTATCATTCACAGTCACTCCTTTTTAGGGTTTCGTACCTCAAAAGGAAAACCCGGAACCCTTACAGGATCACTTTGTTGTCCGTCTCTTATCTCGGGAGGACGTAGAGACATCGAGTTGAAATAAAATAAAAATAAGCTCAATTCTACAGTCCCAAGAAAAAAATTGGCAAGTAACATCGTCTTATACTACAAGTACCTACAGGGAAAAATAATTAAATTATTAAAAATACAGTCTTTATTTAAAGTACGTAATCGATCGAGGAACTTTTACCCTTATAAAACACAATAGGTAATATACATCATTATAAGTTTTGTAAACTGAATTACGAGAAAAGCTACGATAAAACTGCGATACTCGATTATTACTCGAGTATTCATCCTATCAACTATCCTATTCAACCTTTGTACCTTGAAATTTGTACGGAACTCTCGGCGAGTCCGACTTCCACTTGTCCGAATGCTTTAAACTCAAACATTTTAATCCCAAATGCTAACTAGTACACTCACCACCCACCATTCATAATAAACTATATTATTCCACCTAGCTTTGCTTTATTTAAATGCGAATATTTTTTACCTCCTGCTTACTAAAAAATATTAAATTACAAAATGCAAGTAAAAAATAAAGGGCTGATAAAAAGCGTTCCCGTTTCCAGCTAATTACTTTATTGTAGAATACAATATTATATTGAACGTGCTTACTGGGAATTGAAGTTTTTTGTTGTAGTACAAAAGATTTTTTTACGGAATCGATATCATGTTGGTAAGTAGGCAGATCGTTGTTATAGAAATGAACTTCAGAAAAAATATCTGTGATACCGGTTAATAAAGATTTTGAATAAAGGGAGATCAAGCAGATGTAAAGCGGACATCAGCGGCATGTCATCTATAGGTAAAATATAATGGATATAAAATGACTTATAGTTGTTCCCAAACTAACTAGCCGTTTTGAAATAGTTTCGAACTTTATAGCATGAACTGTTTTAAAGATGCATTTTTTCTACATAACTGGAAACTTTAACTTATTTCAAATTTCACACTCCTGTCTTCACAGCTTTTGTACAAAGAACTTTCTAGCAGAAATGTAAGACAATACAAAATATACACATTGTCTTAAACGCATGTACCTGCAGTTCAATATGAGCATACACTCTAAATATTAATTAAAATCACGTAATTACATTTTTTTAAAAGTATAAGCGATTACAATGCACCTAAATGGCAAATGGCAAATTCAAATAATCAGTTTTCTTCCCTAATTTTCTACCCTTAGAGGGTGGGAATATTTTCTTCAAATATAAACAACACTTGAATATAAACAACCAAATTAATTTAAATCGAGGTACAACTAGTAAATATATTGCGTAACTTGGGTATACTCGTACATAACACAACACTATGCGGATTGAAAGCCACCTATTTTTAAATCGGTTAAAAAGTTGTTGAAAATCTTATAGCGGATACGAGTATCTACATCCAGTACCTACTGCACGGATGGTGTAGTGGTTTAAGCGGACGCTACGCTGCTTCCTACTGCGCCGAGTGTTGTGGGTTCAAACCCCACATGGGACGACACTTTGTGTGATCCACAAATTGTTGTTCTGAGTCTGGGTGTTCTTTGTGTCGGTTTCATGTATGTTTGTAAGTCCCCCGCGACACAGGAATGTATTCCTAATGCGGGAGTTGTCTTTAAAGAAAAAAAGAACAGTACATCTTTGATAACGTTATAAATCTATAGATGTTAAATTAAAATAAACAATGCCATTAAAGTTTAACTTATTGCTGCTACTCCACATTGTAGAAATTTTAATAAACACGTGGACCTAACTCCAAAGCAAAACTATACTTTCTCATTGTAAAAGACCACAAAGAATTGTTCTATTGCCGTAGTCAATTTCAAAAAGATAAGGCGAATTTAGATAACTTGTATTGACTTTTGACTGTCCATTTGCCCATTTGCTGCATTAAAATATGGAAAGCAATAAGATCTAACATAAACCTTTTGAGGAAATTCAAGGATGTTGATGAAGGCCCTGAGTAACTTATTTATGGGTATAAAAAAGTCCTAAGAAGTGTCGCTCTATAGGCAAAATAAAGATTCTGAAGAGATACTTTACCCGAGTGTGAGTATTACTGCTAATGTAGGTATACAGTTCCACGAGCAACCCCATAACTGTTTACATCAGAAGTACCTACTTGAAACTATAGGAAGACCTCAATGAAATTTAACGCGAAACAAAGCAGTACTCGTAGTAGCGTATTGGTAAGGGCTTCGGACTTAAGAAGGAGTAGTTGTGGGTTTGAATCTTACTATCTATCTTACTTAGGATTTAGCTTAGCTTAATCTAGAATACCAGTATTCTTTAAAAACATAACTTTGCGCTAATTCCTTATTAAATACGCTGATTTGTTA